CATTAGATATAGGTCAGTCACCAGCTCAGCTATTCTTGAACCGACGTTTAAAAACCTCACTTCCTACTACAAGTAAATTATTACGTCCGTCAAACTCAAAGCAAATACAGGAGAAACTACAAAAGCGACAAGTGAAATCTAAGATCTACTATGACAGAAAAGCGGGCAATGTGCTACCAGAACTCAAGGATGGAGATCCAGTTATGATTCAGGATGGCAACATCTGGAAACATGCTACAGTTAGGTCAAAACATCACGCACCGAGGTCATACATTGTGCAGACCCCTGACAGCAAACTTTACAGAAGGAATCGGAAAATGCTCAGACCAACGCAGTCAACTCCGTTAATGAGGAACATTCCGAAGGAAAACTTGCAGCCATTTGCAAACGCTGATGCAATTCCAACTCGATCAAGACCACCGGATGAAGTTCCAAAACCTACCACTTCACCAGTCGCAAATCCTTCCAAATCTGTCGAGTCGAATTCATATGCGTGTCCATCCATCCCTCAGCAAACAAGATCTGGGCGCATCGTCAAAGTACCTGCCAAGTATTCTGATTGTGAAATGTGATTGTGAAATTTAATGAACTTGTGTTACTTTATGTTTTCTTTCAAGGGGCAGAATAATCCCCACATATGGTTTGAAGGTAGTATGCCTAGTGAAAACCATATAAAGCATATTATCATTTGTTTACATGTTAACAGTTTACAATTTGATACTTGTTCTGTTTATTTAGAATTGTGGATGCAATTCCATTTATTCTTGTTAAAAAAAACTCTCATATTAAAGTTCAATGACTTTAGAAAATAATATTAGAATCTCTATGTAAATTTAATAGTTTATTGTGTACTCTACATTAAATACTTTTATTAATATCATTTGTACAGTAAACTTAAGAAGGGAGATGTCATGTATCAGTAATCCGGAATTATACAATGTATCAGTTTTGGGTTCTATGTTTTACATTAGTTAATTGAATAAAGATGGAAACCTCCATGTGGTTGTCTATGTGATGCGACTCCGACGACTTATATGACAACTTTACTTTTCAGTGGTGCTCGTGGTCTTAGTACAATAGATTATTTACTGACCACAACTGATATGTTTGATTTTCTTAGTAAATTTATTGTCTGTAATTTCACTACATTTTCAGACCATGAACCTTTACATATTGAACTCAGATGCTCTTTATTTATGGAATCCTATGAGAACACTGATTCGCATGTTTATAAAACCCGTAGTATTTACAAATGGGATCCAACATATAGTGAATTATGCAAAGACTTTTTCAATTCATTAGATGACATTTATAGTCATGTGGATTTTAATGTCATTTCTTCACAAAACGATCTGGATAATTGTATTGGGAAAATTACTGATATGTTGAATGTTGGTGTTGGTAGTTTTTTTTTTCGTGTAAATACTGAACATTACCCTAGAACTTCTGGCAGAAGATCAAAACGCTCCACTTTCTTAAGTTCAGATGATAAGGCCTGGTTTGATAAAAAATTAAAATCCCTTTATAGAGATTATATTGTAGCTTTACGTACATTCAATAGCTGTAAAAATATACAAAATCACTCGGATTTGATTAATAAAAAACGCATTTACAAGAAAGAAGAAGCAAAGCTAAAAAGATTGTACAAGCAAGCAGAAGGTAATAGGTTAAACATATTGAAGAAAAATAATCCCAGACAATTTTTTGCCAAATTTAATAAAAGAACAAAATCAACTACAAGTACCATTAGAAGATTTTTATGAGCACTTCAAACATATCACTCAAATTGAAGAAACTGGTAACTCGAATGGTGCAAATGGTGAATGTATTTTTGATGAAGAAATTTGTGAAGATGAAATTAAAAGCGCTATTAGTAATTTAAAGCAGGGGAAGTCGCATGGTGAAGATGGAATTTTGAATGAATATTTTATTGAATTCCAGGAATATCTACTTCCCTTGTTATATAAACTTTTTAACTGTATTTTAGACGCAGGTTTTTTTTCCCGAAAAGTTGGTCATCATCTGTAATCGTGCCTATTTTCAAAAAAGGTGACATTAAGAACCCAGATAATTATAGGGGTATAAGTCTTGTTAGTAACATGGCTAAATTATTTACTTCTATATTGAACAGTAGATTATTAGAATGGTCAAAAATTAATGATGTAATTACAAATGCACAGTTTGGCTTTAAACCTAATTGTGGTACACGTGAAGCAATATTTGTTCTGCATTCTTTGATTTCAAACAATATACCTAAAAGTAAAAGACTATATTGTGCATTCATTGATTTCAAAAAGGCGTTTGATTCTATTGACAGATCTAAACTGTGGATCAAGTTATCTAAAGTGGGTATCCAAGGTAAATTGCTAAATGTCATAAAAGCACTGTATAATAATGTGAAATCTTGCATTGTGGTAGAAGGCAAATTGAGTGATTTTTTTTCTGAAACAATATCGGTTTGATGCAAGGAGAAGTGTTATCTCCAATTTTATTTAATCTCTATGTGAATGACTTTGAAACGAGTTTTTAAAAATCTGACTGCATCTCTTATGATCTAATGTCACTGAAATTGCTTTTGTTAATGTGTGCAGATGATATGGTCCTTTTTTCTGAAACAATTGAAGGTCTGCAATCACCTTTGAATGAGTTGTCTGAATATTGTAAATCCTGGAATTTATGCATTAACGTGGACAAATCTAAAGTTTTAATCTTTAAAAATAGGGGCAAAATCAAATCTAACGAAAAATGGTTCATTGGTAAACATGTTTTGGAAACTGTTGAACAATTTACATACCTGGGAATTATTTTCCAATATAATAATAAATTTGTAATGGCGGAAAAACGGTTGTCTGACCAGGGTAGAAAAGCATTATTTGTATTGAAAAAAATCTAAGGGGTTTGTCCCTTAATAATGAAACTTTATCATCACTTTTTGATTGGTATGTTGGAGGCATTGTTAATGACGCATCAGAAATCTGTGGATCTCATAAAGGTGACAATGTTTGAAAACTACATCTTGATTTTTGTAAGCAGATATTAGGAGTTAAAAAAATTACATGTGATGCAGCTGTTTATGCTGAGTTAGGCAGACCTCCCCTGTTGTACAAAAGAACATTCTCAATGATAAAATTTTGGAGTAATATTTTAGCCAGCGATAACTGTATTATTAGAAATTGTTATGAGAAGATGTATATTAACTGTGAAACGCATGCACAAAAAAACTGGGCTTTTCAGGTAAAGAAATGTTTAAATGATCTTGGTTTAGTGAAGTTTGGCGTAAACAACAAATTAATACATCTACCTTAAAATGTATAAAACAAAGGGTCTTGGATCAGGCTAAACAAGAAATATTTGCTAAAATTGAAAGTTCGCAGAAATGTTCTTTCTATAAATACCTACTTGATGGATTTTACCTTCAACACTATTTATAAAATCTATTCCGGCTAAGTTTCAAAAGTGTATATCAAAGTTAAGATTATCATGACACCTGTTAGCTATTGAAACTGGGAGATATAATAAAACTAACAAATCGCATAGGAAATGTTATGCTTGTAATAATTGTGTTGAGGACGAATATCATTTTCTACTGGTTTGCCCTGTTTATGCAGATTATCGAAGCAAATTTATTAAAAAAATATTTCATTAAAAAACCATCCATGTTCAAATTATTGCAAATTTTCAATACTGAGAATTATAAGGATATGTGTAACCTTGGTAAATATATTTATTATAGCTTGAGGCGAAAAGGTGATCTTGTAATCCGATAATTGTATCTTTTACATTATCCTTTTTGTTTGTTTGTATTTACTACTATTAATTATTTACATACACATTGTTCTCCTGTAAATTATCCACTTCTGTACTGTAATTGATTGCATTATTTTGTATATACTGATAAGCTGTAAAGCTTAAAGTAACAATAAAGAAAGAAAGAATAACCAAAGCTGTAATCGCTTAATTACAGCGATCTACTGAAAAAAGGCTAAATTAAACCAAGGTTGGCATCCCGCTTGATCAATGAATATTTATAGATCTTACATTCGTTTCATGAAATCAGACACTGTTATTTAAGAAACGACACTGTTATTTATATTCAGATTTGCAACGAAATCTGATATAATAACTCAACAGCACAATGTTCAGACTCAATTGGCTTTGCATTTATGGTTACAGGCCTGAAAGAAACAATCGCCAATATTTAATGAAATGTTGTTTTGAAATTTTAAATTTTGTATTTAAATGCATAATTTGTTCCAGGAAACCATTGGCTGAATGAAGTCGTCCCTCGTCTTTAACGGTACCGTTGATTCTTCCCACATGTTGATAAACACATTTCTGGAGTTCGTTCCCGATCTGCAGGAACTAGAATCAGTGCCCTCTCCAAGAGTCCTGACATCACACCTTCCATTTCGCTGTCTGCCAAAGGAACACATAAAAAACAACGGGAAAATAATCCACATCATCCGGGACCTCAGAGATGTTGTCGTGTCCGCTTTTCACCATTACACCACAGATCCATACGTCAAGGACTTTGTATCCACCGATTGGTCTGTGTTTTTGGACGAGTTCTTGCGTGGAGGTATTTTAAGAATTACAAGGACAATATGTTGAAATATCCCTCTATAAAAAAACCCAGCAAAGTATGAGAAAACATAAAAGACGAGGGTGGGAAATTTGTAAGGAATTGTCACTTTATATAAGACATTCTTGAAAGAAAAATTGAAAATTGGAAAGTAAAGTTATCTAAGATAAGAGTGACATTCATTTAATTTGAATGTCTTCAAAGACGGTGTCACTGAAACAATGTTCGAGTCCAATCTGGTTAACAGTTTTAATCATTTCCGCCTTCTACAAATAAAAGCTATACCAAAAGAGAGACATGAAGGCATCTAAAGCAAAATGAATAATCTAGGGGAAAAAACATATTTTCTTCAAGAGCCTATTTAAAAAACTGAATTTTCTGAATACAGAGTAATGAATTTGAAAGAATAATCTTATTAAGTTTTTACTCAACACTTTCGATACCCATGGTCAAAAAGCAATGGTACGGAAGCTAATGCTTTAACATTTAACTCATTTTTTCATTTAAGACAATAAAACTGACCTTAGATTCGTTTTCAGATGTTAAGTTTAGCACGTTAAATCAAGATCTTTGAAATTCGATTCTGGTACTGAGTTAAAATTCGGAAGGAAAACTCGTTACAAAAGTAGATTGTTCAGAAATTTATTTTCAACAATTTAAGAGACATTGTACAATTCTCAGTCAACCTTGAACTTTCAGCGTGGTATTCTCGACGTTACCTGATTAGCGTCTGAAATTTACAGTCTTTCATTCACGGTTGAAATATACATTCCGGCGAATGCCAAAGAGTGTAGAAATGATCATGATAGTGTTCCGTACGGCCTAAGTCGTCTCATTGTTGTCAACAACAATTTAAAGTTGTTGATGTTATTATTTTCTTGACCAATGAGAATTTATTCGCCATTTGAGAGACGCTAATTACGTAGTGTCGAGAAAGTCACGCCCTCCTGAACTATTTCTAGACAATACATGTATATGTTTTAAGATATTATTCAAATGTTTTAAGTATCCCCTTTCCAAATGATATATTTTACAACTTTAATGAAAAAGGACAAAAAAAAATACCATTATGAATGATATATTCTTAAGAGAATCAACAATTATTATCTTATTCTTTTTATGTCAAAATAGTAAAACATAATGAAATATGAAGGTAACGAACAGTATTCAAGCCCCAAATTCCATTCAAACAATTATCTTGTAAATTTTGAATTAACTAGGGGGAAGGAAATGCTTACAACAAATAAATTTACCTCCCCGTAGTAAATTCAAAATTTAAAACATGATACAATGCACACCAGCGCAGGCACTGACCTCTAAATATCATTGGTGGGGTCGGGGCTATGGAGGAGTAATCATCCCCTGCATATCGTTTAAACCCTCCATTTCCTCCTTGTCATGATTTGGAAATAGATTGTTTCACTAAATCGGTAATCTGCAGCTTAAACTTAGCAAAATCGTTTGTTAAACGTTCATTGCCATTTATATACGAAGTGAGATTAAATGTTATTTTTTTGTTAAAATAAGATTTTTCTGTTTTTATTTTCTCTTTTTATTTAATAAAGAATATTTTTATGGAAGTTGGTTTGAACGAGAGAAGGAGTGGGAAGAGGCAGCACTACAGCATCCAAAAAGTATATTGGTTCTTTACTATGAAGATCTGAAAAAGGTAGTTTGGTAACTTCTCTGCATTAAGTAGATAGAGCTAACTTCACTAATACTTAAAGAGAAAGTGCTGTACATATATATATAAACTTTATTTAAGAATGGTCCAGAAACGATGACTCGCATCTCTAGTTTTCTTGGTCTGTCATCCGATCCCACTTTCTTGCAAGCTGTCTATGATGAATGCTCCTTCGAAAAAACGCAAAAGCTAAGGAAGGGCACGTTTAATGAATTTATTTACAGAAAAGGTAAAAAGATTGATAAATTAGTAAATTAATACTTTTCAATTTTACGAAAGCCAGACTTTAAAGTTAAACTCTGGAATTGTAAATGAAAAATGTATTCGTGAAAAATTTTGTCCAAACTTTGTTTGTGTTTAAATATATTTTTTTGTGTGTTTTGTTCAAATCTGGAGATAATGCCAATTCAAATCCTTTAAGAGATAGTCACAATCTTTAACTAAGATCTAGCAATCTTTTGTAGAAGAAGGGAAATAAACTTTGGCATTGCAGCGAAAATAAAGTTTCTTCCAATACAACAATCAAATTCTATTAAAGACACAAAGGTTCCAACCTGACGGAAAAGATTATTAAACCACGTTACTGTCACAGAAGCTCAGTCGTTAGAGTGGGTTTGCCGGGAAAGGACCAATTTAAGTTGATTAAAATAAAATAAGTAGAAATTGTTCCTTCTTTAAGCAGTCGGCACTTTATAGTAAAAGTTTTGGGTAATTCGAATTAGACATTATAAACCGAGGCCTTGCGCCGTGTCACGGTCCAATGACCCTGAGTGCCGAGTAAAGGTCTAAATTTGAAGCCCTTTGAGTCTCTATATTTTTTTCTTACATGTATTTGAAACTTTAAATTGATTTGAATTGCCGGATCTAACAACTGAAGGTAAAAACACAATATCTTTAATTTTTCTTTCAAAAACTTTTATTATAAATCGCTGTAGAACTACCCAGTTTGAATTTAGCATAAATTAGTTTACAAAATTTTTTTTTAACATTTTCTTAAAACAAGAATTAATATCTAGAGTAAATTACAAATGCATTTTTGAAGAATTTTGTCTCAGATTTCTGTGTTATTAAAGAAAGTATAAATTAAAATATATTTACGATATCTTCGTGACCTAATGGTTATGTTATGCAGATATAACATTACGCAGGTAAACGAGACTGATGATTTTCTTGTTTCATCAACCTGTTTGTCAATAATTTACCTCATTGTATAAATTGTTCATACGTAGAGCATGCTCTTGCGTATCTAATCAACTGAGATATGTTAACTCCAACGCAGGTGATGAAGGTATATTGCTGCATAAGTAAGGGAAGTTGACGATATAGAGAAAAGTTAATGTCATTACGTTTATCACAGAGCTTGGTTGTTAGATTACCATTAACGTCTTTTTCAATTAAAATATCTAAGTATGAAACAGATCTGTCGGACTCTGTGGTATCTTTTAAATATATTTCCATTTTCTTTTTACAGGAGTAGTTGGAGACTGGAGATCATATTTTACTGTCGCGCAAAGAGAGAAATTTGATTCCATTTTCAAGGAGAATATGAAAGATTCAAAGTTAAAAATACAATTAAGTTAATTTTTAGAGGAGATATTTTTGAGGAAGTATAAAGAAGTATTCTATTCTTTTTGTTGTAATGATTTAAAAAAGATTGTTTGAAGCCATTGACTGCGAAAGTGATACCAGGCCACCTATTTTGCCAATTTATATATGATATGTATAATAGTCACATACTGGGAGCCCAATTTGTTATTGCATAATTGTTTAATATTTTTTCCCAGGAATTGTGTTTTAAATAATGTTACATTGTTTCCCAGTCTTTCTTAATCTGTTTTATGTATTATATTATATGTTGTCATTTCAAAATAAATGACATTTTTGGAACAAACATGTCTTGTGTTATTTGGCAAAAAACAAACTCAGTGTTGTCAGAGGTATGTTTAATTCAAGGAATGAAAGTTGAACTTAATTATTTTTACGTGCAAATTCAGTTGCCATCATTCGACATTTAGCAAACATCAATACAAATGCTAATAATAACAAATTTCATTCTCTCTCTCTCAAGCAGCAGCAAGTGATTTGTAATTTTATAAATTATTAATCCTTGAATTGAATTATAACATAGAATTTGGCCATCGATCCAAGGTTTATACTGTTGCAAAAGGTGGGGGAAAAAACTACATAAATAATGAATTATTGATCGAAGCTGTGTAAACATATGGTTGAATGTTTTTTTTTTAATTTAGTTTAAAACGTTATTCAATACGAAAGGTTTATTATGTAAGGTTTTTTCAACCATAATCAGTGCAGAATCGTCAAGCGATATAGCGTGCTAAAAACATTTAACATTGTAATTTTTGCATTCAGTTCGCCTTGACATACAGGGGTTAGAGAAAAGTGGGGCAGTTAAACTGCAAATTGATATAATTGTTTAGCAACTAAGATTGCCGGGACTTGCAGGTTTGAGAGAAGAGTGCGCCAATTTATTGCAAGAATAGGGCTACATGTACGTTTGTTATTTATTGTTGATACCTATACTAGTATGTACTTGCACATAATTTACGCTTTTGACATCGCCCCCTAAAATTGGATTTGCACTTTTTGTTTATGATGCGTGTTTTGATGTTACAAGTATAAAAGATGTGTTACATAATTTGTTAACTGAGTAAAGATCACTATCGATTATGTGTAATTATCTGTAATCCACTGTTTATACGTATTTTTGCATTATTGTTAGGACCACATGTTGTTGATTGTTTTAGTAATGACCGACTCCCAGAATGCAATGCGGTATATGTTTACGAAGTTTAACGAGCGCTATTTTTCGATTATAATTCATTGTTAATTTATTGTAAATTCTTGAATAGACATTTAATGATACTAGAAGTAAGTAGACTTAAAAAATAAATGTTATTTCAATTTTGTTATTTTATCGTAAGTGTGAGAATTTGATGTGGGAACTAGAGCATTGCGTTACGTTTTTCATTTGTTGATGTAATTTACGCGATGCTTTTGATTGGTCGCGTTTCTTTATGTCATTTTACTACATATATATAACAACGAGTTTTAGTAGACAACGAGGATTTTGATTGTTTTTGGGTTGTAGAAAGGTGTGTAATTTTAGTTTGTTAATTTTAGTACATTTATTTCGGGATTAAGAATATTGGGATGGAGTTGGCCTTGGTTTGTTATAAATAAGTTGGTCTATTTACATCTATCTGCTGAGCTGTTTACCGTGATCTATTGGTCTGAAATTACTACAGTCAGTTTACGGATATTTTATCCGTTGTTTTTTCAATTACTGGTTCAATTTACCTGTCCTAATGTAAGAACAAGTACAAAATACGTAGGTTTTAAGCATTAATTTAAGAAATAAGGTATCATTTTTTTAGTTTCATTGGGATGTAAAACGGGTTGGTCACGTGATCAAATCTCATAAAGCCCGAAGGGCTTACATTTGTAACTTATTCATACTTTATATTTGCCTGATTGTGACTTTTAGCGTGTGAAATGCATTTTTTTCAAACTCAACGGCTAATCCACTGAACGCGCGTCGACCCTTTATGACGTTACAGAGAAATTACGTCGAACGTTTATCCATACGCACATATATGACCTCTTGACCCCGTACCTGTATTTATACAGTTATAGATAGGCATTGCTTTCATAAGTGTTACATAAAGGAAAACATTTGCAAATGTAAATATTTGGAATTATTATTTTATTTGGAAGTATTGTTTTAAAGAAATAAAATATGTGTTCAGAATAAACCGTTTATTTGTTAACTTTACAAGACTTCTCTTTATTTCATGTACGTCCTTAATTTGGAAGTAAAGAGAGAAAAGAATTGTCATAGTTACACCTGAGCGCTTATTTGGTGTCGTTACAATATTTTGGCATCCACGGCGGGATCTGTTAAAAAAACAGATCCAGTGATTAAACACCCCCCCCCCCCCCCAAAGAAAAGAAAATAATATATCTGTTAAATTTACAGATGCAGTAGTTTTTTTGTTGAAATACAAGTCTTGTTGGTTGTTCTGAACACATTATTACAAAATGGGTGGTAAAAGAAAGACAAGAAGTCCTGCACAAGTTCGAGGTCGTAGCCAGTTTTCTCCCTTGAGCAGAGTTGTGTCAGATGATGAAGAGATCCGTGAGATTTTGAGTTCCAGAGAAGATAGTCCAGTTAAGTATTCCAGATCTGAAAATGAAAGAAATCATTTTGAAACGGAAACACCAGTTAGTCATATTGAGCCAGAAAAGAGCCTAGTTACAATGATAGGGTCACCTCTTACTCTTAACTCCCTATACAGGTGATTTACCTGTCACTTGCAAAAGTAGTCTTACACCTGCAAGTCTCACAAATGTAGTCCAAATGACAAGTACACACACGGTACCTCAGATCTCTACACATACAGTCTAACTGCATGCACCTACACAGTTGCATTTTTCTCATGAGAAAGTTGTGTACAAACATTACCACTACACGTGCCAAATAAAGCATTACAGACAAGTAGTGTTCCTTATTTTGAACAACTTTAAAATGCAACACATGCTCATGAACCCCAGTTTCGGAATCCAATATAAATAAGGTAGTTCAAATTCATTTTGGCTCTGTGGAATATTAAAAGTATTCAAAACTGACAGCTGATTTTGAAGAATTTCTTCCTTAGAAAGGGAAGTATGAGTATAAGTAGAATTACCACTTGTAGAATTAAATCCAAGTTCTTCTGGAATGCAATTTATATAATGAGCCTTACAAACGAAGACAATGTTGTTACCTGCTTTGTCGGCAGGGACAAGTACGTACTGATCGTGTAAACTATCTATTTTTTTCACTTCTGGTTTATTGAACACAGAAGGATAGATGATTTTCATATTGCCCCTTAATCTTTTAACATGGATCTGATACATTTAATCCATTCTGACAAGGTGTCAATGTCTTCTTTTTCATATTTGGCCCATCGTCTGGCGTAATTTCCAACTGAATCCATAATATTTATGAAATTCCGACGCCAGTTGAAGGATCGGGGTTCTCTATACTTAGGACCTTTTAAAATTAGTGATCTAAGGTCCTCATTACGAACTATATTTACGTCACCTGTAATAACGTGTCCAGCAGGACTATAGTTATAGGGCGAAGAAGAGCATGAACACGAAGGAGGATTATGTTTCAGATAGTCAGTATCCAGGCCATGTGAAGTGTTTTTGTAACTGAAAAGTTTGGAAGCAATGGTCGGTGTATATTTGTAGGAAATACAAGGTGTAGTCTTTAACTTGAAATATGGTGGAATACAAGACTGGACCCTTTTGTGATTAAGAATATTACTTATATTAACCGCGTCAATTCCTTTATTGGCATATTGAAGTTTAAGGAAAAGACGGATTGTTTTAGCTGCATTTTCTTCTGTGAAACGTGTGGGTTTAAAAAGCCCATGATATACAATATCCATAATCACAGATCCGAGCCTATATTCAGGTGACGAGGAATCTAAAATTGGATGTTCCTTGGCCTTTTCAAGAAGACTATTTAAAAGTTTCAAAGGGACAGAGTAAAGTTTTGTTCGAATATGATGTAGACCTAACTGTTGATTTACATAAGGTAGTAATGAATCAAAAGAGACGTCGTGTATTGCAGGTTTATTGTACGAAGAGTAAACTTAAAATCAATCGACAAAAAGTAAAATCAAATTTAAAAAAAATGAATAAAAGGGGGCTCCGAGGTAAAACCCTGTCAACGTTGTAGAGCCCTGCTGTGAACATGATGTGGCAAAGAGTAATTAGTTCTATACAAGGAAAAGAAAGAAAATATGTGGGTGTTTTTGTGCATACAAATTATCTTGCATGTAAATGAGATTTTCCTTTAATTTAAGAAAAAAATTATATACTTCATGTTGTTGTTTTTATTCGCGATTCGGTATCCTTTTTTGGTTTTCACATTTAAAACAAAGTACTAGGTTTAACGCTTTTTGGCAGGTGATAGTCATACTGCTGATTCAGTACAAAGTAGTAGCATATAATGACAAAGTAGTGGCATATAATGACAAAGTAGAGCATATAAAGACAAAGTTTTATTCAATTATATACTTACTATTTATACCCTATGTAACCATGTGACTTTTAAGGAACACGCTCAATAATATCATACCGCACATAATTTTAATTTCGTTGTCAGATGGAGGTTGGAGGTGAGTACCATTTTAATTTTAAATGTCAACTTTATCATTAGTACAGGAAATTGTAAATTAAAAAGTATTATTGGTATAGACCTAAAATGTATAAACTATTTCAATTATTATCAACTGAAAATGTGAGTAAACTTAGTAAAATAGAGAAATTCCTCTAAAAAAGCAGAAGTAATTAGAGATTCACATTTGTAAACTGAGCCGGTATTTTTCTTTCTATGTTTGGTTAGAAATATTGCATACAAGCAATGTTATCTTAAAACAAGTGTATGTAAATACCGGTATTTCATTTATGCTTTACATCCTGTATTATGTAATTATGTTATCTGATAAGTCATATGACTTAAGGAAAAAGAAAACAACAAAAGATCATTTAATTAAACTATTAAAATTAAATTTGGCCATCGATCCATTTTTATACTGTTGCAATTGTTAGGGAAAAACTACACATAGACAATTAATTATTGATCGAAGCTACCTAAAAATGTTATGATTGAATGTTTTTTGAGTGCTTAATTTAGTGTAACACGTTATTCAATACGATAGGTTGATTGTGTAAGGCTTTAATTTATGAACCTTAAGCAGAGCAGAACGGTCAGTGACATAGCATGCTAAAGAACTTGGAATTGTATTTAAGCTTGTTATTTTTGCATTCAGGGACTTGCAGGGATGAGAGAAAAGCGGGGCAGTTAATTGTAAACTGCAAATGAATATAATTCTTTAGGAACTAAGATTGTCTGGACTTGCAAGTGTGAAAGAAGAACACGCCAATTTATTTTCAATTTAATATATTACTTCGTTGAGGTAGTATATCATTTTATGATGACGACAAAGCAAAAGTTGAGCGTAAACGGACTGATAGTTCCAGCATTCTTGCCGTTCCAAACCTTAACGGACGCCCGAAAACGAATTGCTAATATTGTTAATTTAACTACGAGAAAAGAAGATGTTTTTGTTATTTCCTATCCAAAATCAGGTAATGTTTTCTGTATAATATTTAACCACTATAAGAAACAACCTCCACTCCCGTTTTATTTGATTTTATTTACATATTCAATACTATACATTATAAGAGGGTGAGGGATGAAATTGGACATCATTATTAGTATTTTAGTTGATTTAAAAAGGAAACCATTGGTTGAATGCAATCGTGCCCCGCCTTCAGAATTCAAGTCTGGACACCCCTCACAAAATGACAGAAAAATTCCTGGAGTTTATTCCAGATCTTCAAGAACTGGAAACAGTTCCTTCACCTCGTATAATGACGTCACATCTTTCAGTTAAATATACTCCATAAGAAAACAATGGGAAAATTTTACACTCCATTCGAAACCCTAAAGACATCGCAGTGTCAGCTTTTCATCATTACACAACAGATCCAGTGGTCAAAGACTATGTACACCCTGATTGGACCAGTTTCTTGAACGATTTCTTACGTGGAGGTAAGTTCAATTAATTGTTTTTTTTACCACAGTAAATTGTTGTCAATTCGGCATTATCATATTTTAAAACTTAAACTTAAAAAGCTATAATGAATGGGAGACTTTCTTTATTTAATGAGGAATATATTTTATGATTGATCCACATGTAGAGTGGTGGTGTAATAAATTGTGCTGTGTTCAAAACTTGTAATTTTGTGCTCTTAAATACAAAAACTGATGAATAATTCAGTTCAGACAAACTGAAGCATATTTGCAGCTCTGTTCTGCAGCAAGTCAAATGATAAAAAAGAGTATGTGTGTATAGAGCATTTATAACAAATGCCAAATGAAATTACAGGTTTTTACAATTACAAAAATATCCCACACCTTATAAAAAAATTAAAAAAATAAAAGAAAACTAGTACATATATTTTCTGCAACAATAACAACATTTATGCAAGATTGAAGGGATGGAGTTGGGTTAAATTTGTAATCCACCTTTTCGGAGCCAAAAGTTAATTTGATAAGAATGAGGCTAAAAGCCGTAACTAGAGGGCGCTGAAATATAAAACCCGAAAAAAAAAACCAAGACCCATGAATTCACAAAAAATAGTCATAAATAAGAATAATACTATCTTGTATGCATTTAGATCACATAAATTCATTTATACACATAAATACACTCTCTCAATATACATACAAAAATTTACATAAATCGTAATTAAAATGCGAAAATATCTGAGAAATTTTTAATGCCATTACAATTCATTGTTGAGATATTCCTATTTCATTTTAAACAGAATGCTACTATGGAAGTTGGTTTGAACGAGAGAAAGAATGGGAACAAGCCGCACAACAAAATCCCGAGAAGATATTGATAGTCTTTTATGAAGATCTGAAGAAGGTATGTTCAAGAAATATGTTGTTCATTCATTAACGTCCTAAGGCATACCGCTGAACTTAACGCCTTTCATTTTTCAAAATACCAAACAGATATTGGCTATGTATTATATGAAGATTTTAAGAAAATATGTTCAATTGCCAATGATATATATATTCTAGAATGGTATGGAGACGATGCATCGAATATCCAGTTTTCTCGGAACCTCGTCTGATCCTACATTTCTTCAAGCTGTTTATGATGAATGTAGCTTTGATACAATAAAAGAAAGAGAAAAGGAAACAATATGGAAATTCATCTACAGAAAAGGTTAAAAAATAAAGTGTTCTTCGTCTTGAATGAAATAGCTTTAAATTTTGGAACCCAGTTTATAAATATTTTTTGTTACTGCAGGAGAGGTGGGTGATTGGAAATCAATGTTTACCGAGGAACAGAATGAGAAGTTTGATCAGGTCTTCAATGAAAAAATGAAGGATTCAACATTGAAGATACAATGGAATGAAATGATTTTTAACTATTTTCAAAGATTACTATAGAATAGTTTAATTTCCTCTTATTCAAACTTAAAAATAATGCTTATTTTTCCATTTTAACCATTATGAACAAATATTCTATTAAATTATTTAAGAAATAAACAACAATGTTAAAAAGTTCTCTGGGAAATGAGCTTTTAGTTGGTCACGTTATCAAATCCTGTGAAGCCCGAAGGGCTTCTCAGTAAACTTGATCATGTACCAACTAAAAGTTCATTTCCCAGTGAACTTCTTAACATTGTTGTTTATTATTTATATTTACATTTGAAACGAACAAATTTCGAGTTAAATTGCATTTATTGCAGGAACGGGCCGCCGAATTGCTATGCTGTGACGCGCAATGACCTAGAAGTTGTTTGGTCAAAGTTTGTTTACCTCGCTCCAACATTTGAATGTTTACATTCATGTTTAGCAGTTCAGTTTAGGAAATATCTGTATATAGTGAAAGGACAATGATCGTTGATGATAATAATCTAACTATTTCATAAGTTCTTAAAATATTTGAAGTCAAAAGCGGTGGTATCGCCTGTTTTAGTTTACATAATTCCAAAGGAATTTCGGGTTAAAAAGGTTAGTGAGGGTTTAGGCTAGTATTCAAAACCTTATTCACATCAAAAGACGATTTATATTGTACATCTCGTGATTGAAAATATCCATTGTTTATCATATTATATTTTTCATCGTTATTAACTTAGAAACATTCCAAAACAAGTTGCACCGTGAGATATGTCATTATGTGGACAAAATATCACATCGCTCTGTGATTCGATAGCGCTATGACCTCTGACCCCCAAACAACATTCACACAGAATTGAACATATTTTCTCTTCAATAGGATCATCTAAGAAAGATATTTGCAAATGTAAATATTTGAGAATATAAACGTCAATTGTGACATTTTTTTGATACATGCGTACTAAGTAATACAGAGTAAAAAATATGCATAAAGGGACTTTTTTCGATAAAATGAAAGGAAAACGTACAAAAAGACGTATATAAGATGTACTCTCTCTCTCTCTCTATCTGATTATTTAAAACAAGCAAAACAACACCGTTAAAAAGGACAAGTATCAGCTGTGTTATGTTTACATCTACATGTAACACCACTTGCAGGTAGAAGAGTATACATGTATTGCTATTTAAAATGGATTTAATGATAAAAAAATTAAGTAAACACGTTTGTCATTATTTTTATGCCCCCGTAAACGAAGTTTCGGGGGTATATAGTTTTTGTCGTGTCCGTCCGTCTGGCTGTCTCTCTCTCTCTGTCTGTTTGTCTGCAAAAATTTTAACCTTGCTCATAACTTTTGATTTAGAGGAGCTATGACTCATATCTTACATGTGTATTCCTGGTGACAAGACCTTTCCTTTGGTACCAATAATTTTGACCTTGACCATGGAGTTTGACCCACTTTTACACAAAAATTTCAAACTTTTACCTTGGCCATAACTTTTGAACAGAAAATGCCAGGACATTTATACTTCAAATATGCATTTTTTGTGGCAAGATCTTTTATTGAGTACCAACAACCTTGACCTTTTGACCTTGACCTTGAAGATTTCTATACTTATGAAAAAATTTTAACCTTGGCCATACCTTTTGAACGGCAAAGGCTAAGGCTTTCATACTTCAAATATGTAATTCTTGTGAGAAGACGCTTCATTGGATATCAAGATACCTTGTAAAATCACATATTTTCGTGGGGTCAAATTTTCGTGGTTTGACAAAAAAGTCTTGGTTCGTGGGGATTTGATTTCGTGGATGTAGAACTGCTGAGTCGTTATGAATGTCATATTTTACATTTCGTGGTGGACATTAATTCGGAGGTCTCTTCACAACGCGAAAACAACGAAAATTAAACCCCAACAAAAATTTCACAGTACTTTTAAAATACAACCTTGACCATTGCTTTTTAAAAGCCAGGAATAGGGCTGTCATACTTCAAATATTTAATTCTTGTGTCAAGACCTTTCATTTGATATCAAAAACTTTGACCCTTTGACCTTTACCTTTTGGTTTGACCCATTTTTACACAAAAAATCCAAACTTTTAATTTGGCCATAATTTTAAACGATAGATACTAGGAATTTCATATTTTAAATATGAATTCTTTGTGGCAAGGGCTTTCATTTGAAACCAACAATTTTGACCTTGACCTTGGATATTTCTGTACTTACGAAAAAACTTTAACCTTGGCCATAACTTTTGAATGATAAGGACTAGAGCTTTCACACTTCAAATATGTTATCCTTGTGAGAAGACCTTTCATTGGATATCAACAACTTTGACGCTTTGACCTTGACATTGGAAATTTGACCTACCTTTAACAAACTTTAACCTTGGCCATGACTTTTGAAAAGTAAAGGCTACAGCTTTCATACTTCATATATGTAATCCTGGTGACAAAACCTTTAATTGGATGTCAACAACTTTGACCTTGACCTTAGACTTTGACCTACTTTTACAAACTTTAACCTTGGCCATAGCTTTTGAACGGTAAGGGCCTGTGCTTTCATACTTCCAATATGTAATCTTTAAGACAAGGTCTTTCTTTAGAAACCAACAACCTTGACCCTTTGACATTGACCCCGGAGTTTGTCCTACCTTTAAAAACGAAAATCTTGAATATAACCTTTAAACTGGTGGTGCTAGGTTTTATATTTCATATTAATTTTGTATTTCTTGTAAAAAGGCCTTACTTTTGGTACCAGTATTTGATCTGCATTTGGGAAAGCTTAACCTTTGCTATGTTGCCATACGGGGGCATCAGTGTTTCACAAACACATCTTGTTTTCGTTAATTTGCTTATGTCTTTCTCTAGTTTAATATTCAAAGATACAACATATGTATTGGACTCTGTGTTGTCTTTTATTTAGTGTTTAAAATGATATTATATCGAATCAACGTAGGAATGAAAGTAAATACATGTCGTCGATAAATTCTTTTCCAATGTCAAATACACCATTTTTAGTCCAGTACGTTCGCCGTTTTCAATCACATATTAATTTCAGGCAGTTTTATAACAAATAACCCTCTGTAACCCTGTACAGACGCTTCAAAAATTGTATGCATCATAATTTTTTTACTTTCCATTTAAACGTGTGTACACAACTTATTTTCATTTTCAGCTTTTATAAGTAATTAACTATCACGTATATAAACCTTTTATAATTTTTGGTCATTCTAATTCTTAAAAAAAAAAGAACGAAAAATGTTAGACCAGTGGATGTAAGTTTATATTTGAAGTTTAGGCTTTTGTTTATTTTACAACAAACATGCATAAATGACCGAAATGACCCGCATATTCTATATATGATGTTATAAATGCTGAATGATGTTGATAACAATTGCATAACTGTGCTGCTTTCCATAAGTACATTCAAGTCATCTTAAAAAACTGTTAGTGATAATTAGCGGAAAACATGCTGCAATTTATTCTGTGAGATTAATTACATCAGATTACTAGTAATTGCAGCATATATAACGACCAGTACTTTTCTGTTTTATTAAACAAATATATCTAAAAAAAATTATCGCAAATACCCTCTGGAAACTTTACAACAAAGTTCCTGTAAGGTTCAGATTGGTAAGTATTGGCTTATGATCCAACAGGCTATACTTGTCTTCGACATTTAGCATTCATAACATACTTCTATATCCTAATATTTTTTTTATTGTGAAAAAAGTTTTTGGCCAAATTTTATGTACATGTATATTCCTAATTGTTCTGTTCTATGAACCAGTTTTATGATGTTGGCAAAAATGTTTGATTTAACAATTTTGCAGATAATGAATACAATATAATGTATAAATTAATACTAGTAAAATGAAATGAAAAAATAATAGCAGAACTTCATCTTAAAAACTACCTTATAATCTATTGCTCTTAATTCAGTAGGTTCCTTTTTTGTCAGGAAAGTTCTGACGAAAAGGCATAAAAAGACCTAGTACATAAATAGATTATCTTGAATACATATCGGACCTTAAAGTAGGATTCTTCTCTGGTTTCTGACTAGATGGAATACTCAAAGTACATTTGTTGATATGTTTTATATATTTAGATGTAAGAGATTTAAAAGACCATATTTTTCTTTCCTCATCACAATTATGCAACTTTAAATAGAAATGGTAAACTGCGTTTGAAAATTAGCAGGGACTACATTTTTGGCGGAATGGTGACGTATGAAAATATCTTCTTTTCTGCCTCTCAAAATTATTATAGAACATTGAATTTAGTTATAGTTTTTCCGCAATCAAAAACTAGACGAAATTTTCAATTTTAAGTTAAATTAATAATAAGGAACTAAAGTTTCAAAAATATATCAAATAAATAAGATTTTTCACACATACTAGAACTATGTTGGCTTTTAAATGCTTCAAATCTAAGTACAGATTTGAGCCAAAAATCGGTAAAAAGTGTTATTTCTCTCTTAGTAAACGATCAAAGCGTTTAGTTTTTGTATCATTTTGTACCTTTATGTGACAACTTTACTATATGTAAAAATTGGAAAAAGTTAAATATAGGAAGCATATAAAAATAACTAATGAATCCTTAAAATTTAAGAAAAGTAGAGGAAATTCGGATTAGCAAATATCCAATTTATTTAATTTTAGTAAAATTATCCATGTCAATTTGGTAA